TGGGAACTAATGAAGAACTTTTCTTTATTCACCCTCTCCACACCACTCATGCTTTTATAGCCCTCTATCATATCCCCCCTCAGTCTCCTCTTTTCTAAGCTGAAAAGTCCCAGTCTCTTTAGCCTCTCTTCATATGGGACCTGTTCCAAACCCCTGATCATTTTAGTTGCCCTTTTCTGAACCTTTTCCAAGACCAAAATATCTTTTCTGGGGTGAGGAGATAACATCTGTACACAGTACTGAAGATACGGTGTACCATAGTTTGATACTATGGGAAGGACTGGGGTGGCTCTGTGGGCTTCTCGCGGTGGAAGCTCTCCTGAAGCCCCTTGATTGACCCACCGTCCGGATGGCAGCCTGCGGCAAGTGCAGCCGGGCTGATGGCCGAGTGCTGTGATGTGCCGAGTGTGGGCACTCAGGGCACTCCAAGCCAGGAGTCCTTTGCAAGTGGGGAACCCCTGAGAACTGTCTGTCCGGGGTGGGGGTTGGGTCCCTTTAAGCACAGCCCTCGGTTAACCTGAAACAGCAACTCCATGCTCTAAGTCCTAATCTGATGCCCTGCCGGCACTGCTTCCGGCCATCCTTAACCTTGGTTCAGGGTCCACTCAATGTGGACATGCTAGTTCGAATTAGCAAAATGCTCATTCGAACTAGTTTTTAGGTCTAGATGCACTAGTTTGAATTAGCTTAGTTCGAATTAACTAATTCGAATTAAGTTAGTTCGAATTAGCGCTGTAGTGTAGACAGACCCTAAAGTACTTCAGAAGCCTCATAAGATAGAAATACATTTGTCAGCTGTTTTTCAAATAGACAGTGTAAAAACGTATTGAATATTTTTGCCTATTGCACATCCGCACCAATGTTTCTATCTAACTCTAACCACAGGTCTGCAACACTGTTAGGATTTCTCTCCACTCAATATTTTTGAAAGTTCATTTCCTATTTTCCTTAGCTCTGTCATTGCTGGATTTTGCTGCCATGTCTTTAGCTCCCCTTATCAATTTTTGTCACCACCAATATATTCTCGGTGCTATCGCCACCTGTTTTTTTTTCGTGATGTAGAATCATAGAATCATAGAATACAAGAAGAGAAAAGAACCTCAAGAGTCATCATATCCAGTCCCCTGCCCTCACGGCAGGACCAAGCACCATCTAGACCATCCCTGACAAGTGTCTGACCAACCTGCTCTTAAATATCTCCAGAGAGGGAGATTTCACAACCTCCATAGGCAGGTAGGACGTTTTTCCTAATGTCCAACCTAAACCTCCCTTGCTGTAATTTTAGCCCATTGCTTTTTAACCTTTCCTCAGAGGGCAAGGAGAACAATTTTTCACCCTCCTCCTTGTAACAACCTTTTAGGTACCTAAAAACTGCTCTCATGTCCCCTCTCAGCCTTCTTTTTTCCAGTCTAAACAAACCCAATTCCTTCAGCGTTCCCTCATAGCATGTGTTTTCTAGACCTTGGATAATTTTTTGTTTTTCTTTTCTGGACCTTCTCCAAAGTGTCCACGTCCTTCCTGAAAGGCTGTGCCCAGAACTGGGCACAATACTCCAACTGAGGCCTAACCAGCACAGAGTAGAATGGAAGAATGGCTTTTTGCGTCTTGCTTACAATATTTCTCTTAATGCATCAAGAATCATGTTGGCTTTTTTCTGCAACAGTGTCACTCTGTTGACTCATATTTAGCTTGCGGCCTCCTGTGACCCCTTGATCCCTTCCTGCAGGACTCCTTCCTAGACAGTCACTTCCCATTCTGTATGTGTGAAACAGATTGTTCCTTCCTAAGTGGAGCACTTTGCATTTGTCCTTATTGAATTTCATCTTTATACTTTTGTTTCTATTTTACCTGCTTTTTCACTTCACTCGGATTAGCTTTTGACTAATGTTTTCTTCTTTCAAAATTGTGGCATGGTGACTTTTGGCCATCCAATAAACTATTTTAACAATTAATTTTAATGAACATTTTTCTGTCTGTATTTTTCATCCCAATAACTTTTTCTAAGTCATTTTCAGTGGTTTATTGACAAGTGATAACTTCAAAGCCGCTTATGCAGGAGTTCTGATTGGCTCTGACCCTTGGGCCATAAAAAACTCTGAAATCCCAAGCTGTGATTTGAGGGATGCTGCATGAAAAGGGGACGGGAGTTTGTGTTGGAATCAGTTACCTATTTTCCGATTTTTGTTCCTAAGTATGTTTTCTGTGACGTAGCGAAGAGAGGCGACTTGTGGCAAACAACACCACAGAGTTTTAGAACTACACAGCGTCACTTCCAGAAAGTCCCTTTTCGCAGGAGAACCAGACGTGGAGGAATCATTCACAGAAGTGTCCTGAGCTGTGTGTGGTGTGGTGACTTAAACAGGAGAATGTCGGTTAGATTTCCGGAAGGATTATTTTCAGTGGTGACAAATGATAGAATGAGGAACAATGGTCTCAAGTTGCAATGGGGGAGGTCTAGGTCAGATGTTAGAAAAAACTATTTCACTAGGAGGGTGGGGAAGCGCTGGGATGGGTTCCCTAGGGAGGGGGTGGAATCTCCATCCCTAGAAGTGTTTAAGTATTGACAAATCCCTGGCTGGGTTGATTTAGTTGAGATTGGTCCTGCTTTGAGCAGGGGGATGGACTTGACGACCTCCAGAGGTCTCTTCCAAACTCACGACTCTATGGTTCACTTCAGAGTAGATTCAGATGTTCCAAAATGCAGGCTGCTTCCAGACATAACCCGGAGTCTCAACAGAAAATAATGACCACTTCCGCTCACTTCATGAAGGTTTCTTTCCTCCAGCTCTGCCTGTCTGCTCCACGACTTATTGCTAATGGAACATTAAGGCTACAGCTACACTGCCCCACTGTTTGGACTAAAGGAGAGTAAATGGCTAATCTCTCATGTATCTGTTTGGTCTTCATCAGTGTAAAATCTGACCCTAACAGTTCTGGAGTAGAGCCTAGTCCAAAACCAGGTGAAGTTGACATATCTGGGTCTTTGTATCAGGCCCATATAGATTTCCACCCTTTCTCTGATTTTTTTTTTTTTTTTTTGGCTTTAGATTATTTTTTGAGGCTTTAAATGACTCATTAAAACAGAACAGCTGTGGTCTTGCTTCGTGTCCCTCTGGCTCAGGAATTCCCATGATGCTACAGAGACCAGATCCCAGAGATGCCAAACAAGGTTTGAAATAAAGGTGCAGTCCAATTAAGAGCCATTCTTCCACTGTCTCAGCCTCCAGAAAGCTGAACTCGGACCAGCAGTGTGGGGGAAAGAAACTAACGACTCTCTGTGTCCTGTTGTATTTGGAACATGGACATTGGTGGTTTGGCTCACACCGGAGATTAAAATATGATTAATCTTTGGGGTGGCAGGGTTGTTGATTCTTGGATCCTTTTCTCATGTGTTGATCAAAGGGAATCAAGTAAGTTACCCAGATAATCTGTTCTTTACTTGGGTCTGAGCTCAGTTTTAATCCATGAGCAGTTTAAAATGGGGTTAGGATTAGGGGAAAATTTTATTCAAAAATGCACTTTGCAATTGAATACATGTCTACATTTAGAATTGTATGAGCTGATTTTGCATACTAATATACTGAGAACTAGCTAGCTAGACAGACAGACAGACAGACAGATAGATAGAGCCAACACAACTATGAGAGGAGATGGAATCTGTTCTGTCTTATGCATCTTCTGTGCAAGTGTAGAACCTTTGTTATTTCAGACTATGCCAAAGCAGAAAAATTCCATCCTAGCTCTGAGATCCTACAATGAATTTTGCAGAGCACTTACGACTGTGTGTCTGTGTGTCACGGTGCAAATTTAGGTGTGTGTGTGTGTGTGTGTGTGTGCGCGCGTGTGTGTGTGTGTGTGTGTGTGAATGGTGCTGTGAGGATGAATATGTGCTTTATGAATATGTATGTATGACTGAAATTTTGTGTGAATATGTGCACATGGATGTAAGATGCACGAGGTGTATTTATACGTGCAATTTCCTATACCCGCGTTTGTGTGCATGAAAGACGTAGTGTGTCTGTTAATGCATGTGACACCAACTACTCGTGTGCGTGGAGATTTGTACAGCTATGTGTTCACAGGCTAGAGAGTAATTCATCTGATTTAACGGTGACTTTGCAGCAAAGATGATAAGTTAAATGGATGGAGTGGTGAAAGAAAGAAAGAAAGAAAGAAAGAAAGAAAGAAAGAAAGAAAGAAAGAAAGAAAGAAAGAAAGACCGTGGAGAAGCTGATATTGTTCTCTTAGGTGGTGGTGATGCTGGATACCATCCATGGTGATTCTATCATCTGCAGGCAAATTCAAGCTCTCTTACGGAGATGATCAACGGCACCCTAGTGGTGGAGTTCCGGCTGCTGGGATTTCATAGCCTTCCCGGCTGGCAGACCCTGCTCTTCCTTGTGCTCCTGCTCATCTACATCCTTTCCCTCATGGGGAATGTTGCCATCATCTCCGTGGTGTGGCAGGAGCCCCGGCTCCACTCACCCATGTACTCCTTCCTCCAGAACCTCTCCTTCCTGGAGATCTGCTACACCAGCACCATCATGCCCAAGATGCTGGCCAACCTGCTGGCAGAGCGGAAGGCCATCTCATTTGCCGGATGCATGGTGCAGCTCTACTGCTTTGTCTTCCTGGGGGCCACTGAGTGCTTCCTTCTGGCGGTGATGGCCTACGACAGGTACCTCGCCGTGTGCGACCCATTGCACTACACCGCGGTCATGAGCGATACCTCTTGCGTCCGTCTGGCTGCAGGCTCCTGGGTGACGGGCATCTTCACCGGGCTCTTGCCCTGCTTGCTCATCTCCCGGCTCCATTTCTGCGCCTCCAACCAGATTCGACACTTCTTCTGTGATATCCCCCCCTTGCTCCAGCTCTCCTGCTCCGACACCACCATGACCGAGCTCCTCATATTCGTCCTCTCCCTCCTGGTCCTCGTCAGTTGCCTGCTGCTGACCCTCGTGTCGTACCTCTTCATTGTTCTCGCCATCCTGAAGATCCCCTCCTCCACGGGGAAGAGGAAGACCTTCTCCACTTGCGGTTCCCACCTCGCGGTGGTGGTTATCTACTACGGCACCATGATCTCCATGTATGTCCATCCCTCCTCGGGCCTATCCTCGGAGCTCAACAAGATTGTCTCTGTGTTCTACACCATCGTCACACCCCTCCTGAATCCCATCATCTACAGCCTGAGGAACAAGGACTTCAGGAATGCGTTGAAGAAAATAATCCAGAGGCAATGCACAAGAGGCTGGAGGCCTTATTCTGGTTCACACTAAGGTGCCTTTGTACCAAACTGGGGTGTATAAAAGTGAGTATAACTTACAACTACCTCCACTTCCACATTCTTGTGCACAACTGGAATACGGGGGGAACAAAAGTCTTTGGTGATTACCTAGCTAGCTATCCTCTTACATACCCCTCTATAGATGAAGAATGGAATCCTTATATAAAGTTTACCCAAATGTTGAATGTTTACACATTCCCAAGTTAACACTCTGAACCTTTGCTGGGGTCATTTAACTGACTTGAATGTTGATTTTTTTTTTGTGGGGGTGGGGAGTTGTCTCGTTTTTTGTTTTATTGGGTTGTTTCATTATCATGTGCCCTCAGCATCTTCAAACGTTTCACGAACAAACTATGTTTCTCTTGTTTTTACTGCATATTTTAGAAATGGGCATCTGTCTGTCTGTCCGTTCATCTGTGAGTCCGTTTGTTCAAGAATACCTCCTAAATGGTAAGAGTCAGGACCACCGAATTTGGTATACAGGTTCATCTTCTCCTAACTTAAAGCATGGTCAAGGTTTGGTTGTGCACCCCAAAACAAGGTGTCCCTCCAGCCCTGAATCCTGCACTTCCCACCCCCTCAGCCTCCTTCCCCGAACCTCTCCCCCACACAACACAATGCTTTAAATGAAGAAAACCAAAAGTTGTGGTAAGGACCTGAGCAATACCGGGTAAATCTTCTAGTCTAGTGTATGATATTTTCTCCTAAGCATGCAGAAGAAAGGACGTGACACTGATTCACTGACCATTCTAATTAGAATTTCCCATTTCTTTTGTTGCCATGAAGCAAACAAATAGGAACAATCTCTCATGAAAACCAAATTAGTCTAGTTCAATACCAATATGGATTTTTTCCACCTATGGACACTTCTTCTGAACGAAGATAGAACAATTTCACTTCACATAAGCCTCCAAAGAACTGTGGGCATTCCTCTATTCATGCACCGCTCTTTGCAATAGTATTTCAACACCCCACCACCAGGTGTATTTTTCCTCTCTCCACCCTATACTCGTAAGGATGTGGCATTGTCCCCATTCTGCAGATGGGAAAGTGAATCAACAAGAGAGATGGGACCAGCATTTTAAAAGCTTTGTTGTTGTTTTTACCTAGGACAAGAGGAGCATGGTGTGATTTTCAAAAACACCCAAGCGGGTTGGGTGCTATATCCCATGGAAATCCAATTGGAGTTGCCCCCATATCGCTCACAACCAGATATTTTTAGAGGTATTCCAGGACCTAAAGGGACTTTTCAAACACACCTGGACACCTAATTCTGATTGATTTTAATTTACTTTATGCACCTAATGGCTTTAAAATCGAGCTCTAGGTGACTGGCCAAGGTCATAAGAGCAAAAGAATGGCCATACTGGGTCAGACCAAAGGTCCATCCAGTCCAGTATCTTCTGACCGTGGCCAGTGCCAGGTGTCCCAGAAGGAGTGAACAGAACTGGGAATCATCAAGTGATCCCTCCCCTGTCACCCATTCCCTGCTTCTGACAAACAAAGACTAGGGACACTTTTCCTGCCCAACTTGTTTGTCTAATAGCCATTGATGGACCTAACCTTCATGAATTTATCTAGTTCTTGTTTGAACCCTGTTACAGCCTTGGACTTCACAACATCCTCTGGCAAGGAGTTCCACAGGTTGACTGTGCACTGCATGAAGAAATATTTCCTTTCTGTTTGTTTTAAACTTGCCACCTATTCATTTATGTTGGTGACCCCTAATTCTTGTGTTATGGGAAGTAATAAATAACTCTTCTTTATTTACTTTCTCCACAGTGGTTAAAAATGTATAGACCTCTACCATAGCCTCCCTCTTGTTAGTCTCCTCTTTTCTAAGCAGAAAAGTCCCAGTCTCTTCTATACCCCTAATCATTTCTGTTGCCCCTTTTTCTGAACTTTTTATAGTTCCAAGGTCGCACAAGGGGTACATCTAGATGACAGGCTTTTGTCGACAGAAGTTTCGTCAACAGATACTGTCGACAAAGCTTCTGTCATCAAAGAGTATCTAGACCACAGCCAGTTCTGTCAACAAAGCAAGCCGCTTTGTCGACATGAGAGTATAGATGCAAAGGACAGTGTAGATGCTATAACGCCTTCTGTCGACAGAACTCTGTCAACAAAAGGCATTATTCCTCATAGAATGAGGTTTATTGCCGTCAACAAAACCACCCAGTTCTGTCAACATTATGTCGACAGAATTCAGCCGCAGTGTAGACGCAGGTATAGCTTTGTTGACAAAAGTCCACTTTTGTTGACAAAACCCTGTAGTCTAGAAATACCCAAGGAGTCTACGACAGAGTAAAGGACTGGACCTAGGCATGATTAATCCTTGGTTAAACCCCTGATCACTAATGTCTATTCTGCACCATGAATTTAACATCAGCGTGGATTTGGGATTAAACAGGTGACATCATTTGACCTAATCATTTCAACTGGTGACTGACACGTGCATTTTAGGAGAAGACGACATACCTGAAATTTGCTGTATTGTGTTATATGGTAGTGAGAGTGGCTGTATGTCCATTTCAAACACAATCCTTATCAATGTGTCTCAACCAAGCTCTCTCTCCACTACATAGGGAAATTCTGATATTTTCATAGAATCATAGAATTCTAGGTTGAGAAGAGACCTCAGGAGGTCATCAGGTCCAACCTCCTGCCCAAAGCAGGACCAACTTCAGCTCAATCATCCCAGCCAGGGCTTTGTCAAGGTAGGACTTAAAAACTTCTAGGGATGCAGATTCTACCATTTTAGATAACACATTCCAGTGCTTCCCCACTCACGTAGGGAAATAGTTTTTCCTAATCTCCAATTTAGACCTCACTGCAACTTGAGACCTCTTTCTGTCATCTGTCACCACTGAGAACAGCCTCTCTCCATCCTCTATGGAACCCTCTTCTGGTAGTTGATAGCAATTTGTTTCATGAGGGAGGGCAGATGGACCAAAAAAAAATCCCACAAATTTTGATTTGCAACTGTTACTGAAATGAATCACTGAGTTTTGATTTGTTGACCTGAAAGGAAATGCTTTGTTTTGCATCAATTCAATACAAATAGCATCTGCTTCTTGATTGTCTTATGGGACTTATACTTTTTATTTAAAAAAGGGTAGGGCTGCAAGGGACCTCAGGAGATCCCACCAAGGACTAACCCTGGCAGACCAGATCTAGCCCACAGGCCGGTATTTGCCCATCCCTGATCTAGACCATCCTTTATATTGATGGAAATTCCACAGCTAGCCTACGAAATGTATTGCTGTGCAATGTCTCATCCCTTTCTTATTGACCGGCTCCCTTGCCAGACGACTGGAGAGTACCAATGGTGACGTAGTTGGACCAACGATCATGGTATGTAAGGGAGAATAGACACCAGAACTGAACTCTCATTGGGAAGTGGCACAGTAGGGAAATACAATCCATGGCCAGATGGGACTGATGCAAGTATCTCTCCTGCCTTCCTGTATAACCCAAGACATGGAGGGTCCTAAAAATAATTTGAGAAGTGGAGCATATATCTAATAAATAAAATATGTCTGATCTTGACTTCAAGCTGCCAGCAGTAGAAAATCCAGCATAGTCTTTGTTAAATTGGTGGTTAATTATTCTCACTCTTAACAAAGCCTGATTGATTTCCGCTTTGCCATGTTGCGTAGCTTCAGAGGCAGTTCACGTTAAAGCCAAGTCCATTTATGACAGGTGCACACAAAGCATCTTCGCATGCTTCAGCAAATCTTCACATTTGGATTTGCATTTAAACACATATTTTGTTTTCCATTTTTCCAATGGAAAAGAGAAAAATAAAGAAGCATATCTGAAGCTGTTGGCAAAAAAAAAAAAAATCAATTTTGGGAAAAATGCATATTCCACAGAAACTTTCCCAACTAGCTCTATGAATTCTCTATGGTTCATCCAGTTCTTGACTTTCCCATTCCTGACACTGTGAAAGAAACAATCAGGGTGTGTCTTGACTACAGGGTTTTGTTGACAAAAGTGGACTTTTGTCGACAAAACTATATCTGCGTCTACACTACCACCAAGTTCTGTTGACATAACGTCAACAGAACTCGACAGTTTTGCCCATGGTAGTAAACCTCATTCTACAAGGAATAACACCTTTTGTTGACAGAATTCTGTCGACAGAAGGCGTTATTGCATCTACACTGTCCTTTGCAGCTACACTCTCATGTCGACAAAGCGGCTTGCTTTGTCGACAGAAGTGGCTGTGGTATAGACGCTCTTTGACGACAGAAGCTTTGTCGACGATATCTATTGACAAAGCCTCTGTCGACAAAAGCCTGTAGTCTAGACGTACCCTCAGTGCCAGATGTGAAGAAGAAAATGATATTGTGCTATTGTCATCGAATCCCAATGGACCATTGTGCCAGATCACCCATCGTCAAAGCATTGAAAACCTGGCAAGCAGTTGGTTCTCAAATTTCTGTTTCCAGAACTTTATTATGGACAGTTAATGTCACAATAATTATGGCTTAGCTTTCAAACGAGCTTGTGAGAGCCAGGTGTGTAGGAATTGTCTATGAATGGAATGAGGGTGATTACTTCTCTTACTCTTTTGAAAAATCCAGAGCACCATTATTACCTATCCTTTGGGTCCTTGTTACTGAGAAGTTTAGATAAGTGATCATGTCCCCGAGGGACCAAAGTGGAGCAAACGTATCTTCATAATAATGATGACTGTGCTGAGATACAGAGAAAAGATACAACGAAGGGTAACAAATCTATATAAGGAGACTGGTACTTTTCAATTTATAGAGGAAATGACTGATATGTATCCAAGAAGGGGATTCGCAGAACCAGGCTGAACAGGGAGCCAGTGAATTTGGCCAAAAGGAAATGCTAGGGAAACAGGTCTGCCCCTCAAAGGAAGTTTGGTGTCTAGGTCTGGGTCATACAGAGAGTCTTACATTCACCCATAGTTCAGAGCTGTGACCATTCCAATCATAATGGTACATTCCAACTACCCCATACTGACTGGGTACATGTCACCGCAGGACAGGATGCGGCGACATCTTCAATGACTGCTTCTTGGAGGTGCCAGATATTCACAAGGACAGAGGGATACGTACCCACAAGGGGAGAAGCAATTCTTGGTGTAGTCCTACATGGCTCTCAGGATCTGACTCAAGTAGAGAATGTAGGTGAATTGCTTAATAATAGTGACCATGATATAATTCAATTTAGTATCCTTGAGTGACTATCTATACCATAATATTCACCACTTTTACAAGACTATGATAAATTTTTTATAAAGCATGCCTTGAAAGGTCCAATTTGAAAACTCATAATCTGCTGAGCATTATTGTCATGGTCAAATGTGTGTGTTAATGTGCATAAGGTTGTAGGATTCTCCTATATGACAGTGTTATAACATGTTCCAAGTTTAGAAAAGCAGGCACAAATCAGATTTTCTGAGACAAAGACACACTGGCACCCTAGCCATGTATCAGCATAATCAAAATAACTATTAACAAAGCCAGGTGTACTGACATTTATTTAAGTGACTGTTGTCTGGCAGGAAGAAGGGATAAGCAAAAACTTTACATAGTAGCAATGGAAAACAGCTGCAGTGCTCATGGACATAGACTGGGTGCTGCGTGAAGAACAGCGATCCATGGCCAAGGGGAGCAGTGATCCCAGTATTTGAGGAGACACAGATGAATAGAGCGGTGAGAGGGACATCCAGGAGCTAACCCTGGCAGACTGGATGCAGCCTGTGGGCCAGTATTTGCCCATCACTGAATTAGATCAAAGCGGGACAGCCCTCCGGAGGCTAAATTACTGTGTACCACAGGCTGAGAACAGTAGGGACCGACGGTGAGATACCCCCAGATAATCGTGAGGCATGAGATGCCCCTCACGATGCACACACACTTGGTTTGCTCTCCTACCCTCAGCGGGTTTGCATGAGCGCGCGCACAGTAGGATTCATTTCTTCCAGCAAGGACACAACCAAACCCATGCTCCCCATAGACTTTTCCATCCAGGAGTGGACTTTTTTCTTCCGTGTGTGGAATACATTTTTACTTACACCAATGCATGTGCAAATGTGCACCAGAAGTAGGAAAAGAACTAGCTATGGGCACTCTGCTAATCAGCTGGGTGGCATCAGAATCTCTTCTGAACGGCCACACGAGTGCATGGCTTAGAGGGAACACCCACAACCGGCTCCTCTCTGCAGTTTGGTCGTCTTATAGCCATTCATTATAGTACAAATGCCCCCCAGGCGCTCCTGCTAAATGCTCTGTGTGTTCTCCTTGTGGGCCTGGCGCTATCACCCACAGAAGGAAAAGACCCAGATCCCATTCCCCAGCCTCCTGGCTAGCCAGGCCCTGCAGGCTGATGCCAGAGCAGAATCCCCCGCAGCTTCCCCACTAGAGTCCTCCTCAGAGCCCCCTTCATCTCCTTGTTCCTCAGGCTGTAGATCAGGGGGTTGAGCAGCGGGGTCGCCACCGTGTAGAACAGCGTCACCACCTTCCCGCTGCCCCCCGAGGCCGCCGGGTTGACGTAGTTGACCATGACGGAGCCGTAGAACAAGCCCACAACGGCCAGGTGGGAGGTGCAGGTGGAGAAGGCCTTGTGCCGCCCGGCCCCTGCGGGCAGCCTCAGCACGGCCCTGACGATGAGCCCGTAGGAGGCCAGGGTGAAGAGGAAGGTGGCGAGGATGATGAGGGAACTCACGGTGTAGAAGAACTCTTCAGTCTGGGGTGCGGGGGAGCAGGAGGCCGCCAACAAGGGACCCGGGTCACAGAGAAAATGGTCCAGGGTGTAGGGGCTGCAGAAGGGGAGCCGAGAGATGAGGACGATGGGCACTATGAACCACAGGAAGCCGGCAAGCCAGCAGGAGGCCGCCAGCATCCAGCATCGGCGGGGGGACATGAGGATGGGGTAGCGCAGGGGCTCGCAGATGGCCAGGTACCGGTCCAGGGCCATGGCCGTGAGGAGGAGGCACTCGGTGGACCCCATGGAGAAGAAGAAGTAGAACTGCAGGAAGCAGGCGTGGAAGGAGATGGGGAGGCCGGGGGACAGCAGGTCGCAGAGCATCCGGGGTGCAGTGGCAGTAACGTAGCAGGTCTCCAGCCAGGAGAAGTTCCCCAGCAGGATGTACATGGGCAGGCGCTGGAGCCGAGGGTCATGCAGCACGGCCCACACGATGCACAGGTTGCCGGCCATTGTCCCAGAGTAGATGGAGGAGAGCAGGGCGCAGAGGAGGGTGCGGCTCTGCCAGCCTAGGGAGGAGAAACCCAGCAGGAGGAACTTGGTCACCGGGAAGGTGCCGTTGGCCGGATTCATTGGGGGAGGCCGGAACTGAAAAGAAACAATCCAAGGGACTCCGAGTTCTCCCCAGATCACTGTGGGAGAGGCGTAGTCAGGCAATAGACACACTCTCATGAAGTCACAGGAAGAGACTCTCTCTCAAAACACCTCAGACACCTCTTGGATCAGACACTGACACTGGGCATTTGTGCGAAACCTGCCGGGCTGCGTACAAAACCTGCACCAACGCATTCACAGTGTCCTGCCTGGGCAACACACTCGTTCTCCTCCTTCCTCAGCTAGAAAAGTTTCTCTGGACGTGTCTAGGATCAGCCACGGACACTCCAAGAAGCAAGCAGAGCAGATGTCATAGAGCCCGATGGCTGCAAGAGACCTTAGGAGTGATCGTGTCCAGCCCCCTGCCCAAGGCAGGACCAACCCCAACTCAATCAACCCTGCCAGGGCTTGGTCAATCCGGGACATAAACACCTCTAGGGATGGAGATTCCACCCCTGCCTAGATAATCCATCCCACTGCTTCCCCATCCTCCATAGTTTTTCCTCATACCCAACCTAGACTTCCCCCACTGCAACTTGAGCCCATTGCTCCTTGTTCTTTCATCTGCCCACACTGAGAACAGCCTCTCTCCAGCCTCTTTGGAACCCCCCTGTAGGGAGTTGAAGGCTGCTCTCAAATCCCCCCTCACTCTTCTCTTCTGCAGACTAAACAAATCCAAATCCCTCAGCCTCTCGTCAAAGGTCATGTTCTCCGGCCCCTAATCAGTTCGGTTGCCCTCTGCTGGACCCTCTCCTATGTGTCCACATTCTTTCTGTAACGAGGGGAACCAGAAAACTGGACACAATACTCCAGATGTGGCCTCACCAGAGCCGAATAAAGGGGAATAATCACTTCTCTGGATCTGCTGGCAATGCTCCTCCTAATGCACCCTAACATGCCATTAGCCTCCTGGCTACAAGGGCGCCCTGTTGACTCATATCCAGCTTCTCTTCCACTGTAACCCCAGGTCCTTTTCTGCCGAACTGCTGCTTAGCCAGTCGGCCCCCATGCTGTAACAATGTTTGGGATTCTTCCCTCCCAAGGGTAGGACTCTGAACTTGGCCTTATTGAACCTTATCAGATTTCTTTTCATCCAATCCTCCAATTTGACTAGGTCTCTCTAGATCCTGTCCTTGCCCTCCAGCATCTCTACCTCTCCCCCCAGCTTAGTTTCATCAGAGAATTTGCAAATTCACTCTTTTCTAAACTTCAAGACTAATGTGAAATTCAGTGGGCTAGGACTGCATCTTTAGGTGGCTAAATCCCTTTAAATTCTGGCTCTAAATCCCTTTGCTCAAATAAAAGATACTGCCCTTACCCCATATCTCGTTCAGCACCTTGGGAAAATGTTTGTCCTGCCTAATCAGTGACTCAGAATGGAATCAAGGGGATTTTTTTTAATTCCTTACCTTGAGTCTGGGGAGATCCAAAGACAACATCTATCATGGATTAACTCTCACAGCTCTGCCGAAGAAAAAAAATTATTCGTGTCTCAATATGATTAAAATCTGGAATGATTTTTCTCTGTGAAATGAATGTGAAATATCTGTGAAATTAATGACTAGAGTTAATTGATCATTACACTGTTTATTAACAGAAACCCCAGATAATGAGCGAGGTTTAGAATGACAGATTATAATAAGTTATATATTTCATTTATATGTAATCACCACATATTCTTATTTCTGATTAAAATAAACAACTTATTAAGGTATCAATTACCAAGAAGGCTAAGGGCATGCTGGGATGCATTAGGAGAAGCATTGCCAGCAGATCCAGAGAAGTGATTATTCCCCTTTATTCGGCTCTGGTGAGGCCACATCTGGAGTATTGTGTCCAGTTTTCTGGTTCCCCTCGTTACAGAAAGAATGTGGACACATAGGAGAGGGTCCAGCAGAGGGCAACCGAACTGATTAGGGGCCGGAGAACATGACCTTTGACGAGAGGCTGAGGGATTTGGATTTGTTTAGTCTGCAGAAGAGAAGAGTGAGGGGGGATTTGAGAGCAGCCTTCAACTCCCTACAGGGGGGTTCCAAAGAGGCTGGAGAGAGGCTGTTCTCAGTGTGGGCAGATGAAAGAACAAGGAGCAATGGGCTCAAGTTGCTACAAGGGTGGGGAAGCACTGGGATGGGTTCCCTAGGGAGGGAGTGGAATCTCCATCCCTAGAGGTGTTTAAGTCTCAGCTTGACAAAGCCCTGGCTGTGATGATTGAATTGGGGTTGGTCCTGCCTTGACTCCTGAGGTCTCTTCCAGCTCTATGATTCTATGAATTCCTATGTTTCACTCGAATACATGAATAGCTGTGTTAGCTGCCGATGTCTATATTCAATTCAGTGAATAAAAAGTCATTCCCACCGTAATTAAAATGATGAAGGGCATTAGTCAAAGGAGGGCAAAAGGCTGTCTAGACAGTCTCATATTGTTTGAACCAGGTTGTTCCAGTTTGTTTTAAATCAGTCAGGAACGGGTTTAAATTAACTTGCAATCAGCATCTTTGAGAGCAAAATAAGAGTGTCCTGATAGTTGGCCCAGGGCGTCCCCGGGATGCGGAGCCTGGTTCCCTCCCAGACAATCTCACTCAGACATAGGTCCACCTCTGTTTTCAAAGTCCCTCCTGCTAGGAGGCTGCTGCTAAACCTCCCCTGTTTGCTGTGCTCCTGCCAATTGGCAGCGGACGTTCCTGCCCGGCTGAGGTGGTGCTGGATGCAGGGCGGGGTGGGGGCAGAACAGTGCAGCGGGAGCGGAGAGATGGAAGCGAGAAGGAAGCCGCGTGTGGAACTTACCTGGCTGTGAGAACTCCATGCCCTCCCTGCGCCTCTGCTAGGAAGGCATCTGGCGGGAGCCGGGGGTGATATCTGCTGGCTGGGTCCCAGGGATTTGGTCTCTGGAGTGGGGGGGTGAGCAGCCTGCTCAGGGTGTGATCAGGCTAAGCAGCAGTTCGTCAGAAAAGGCCTTGGGGATTGCAGTGGATGAGAGGATGGAGATGAGTCAACAGGGCGCCCTTGTAGCCAAGAAGGCTAATGACATATTAGGGTGCATTAGGAGGAGCCTTGCCAGCAGATCTAGAGAAGTGATTAGTCCCCTTTATTTGGCTCTGATGAGGCCACATCAGGAGTATTGCATCCAGTTCTGGGCTCCCCTCACTCAAAGGATGTGGACGCATTGGAAAGGGTCCAGTGGAGGGTGACGAAAATGAAGAGGGGGATGGAGCACACGGCTTACGAGGAGAGGCTGAGGGATTTGGGCTTGTTTAATCTGCAGAAGAGAAGAGTGAGGGGAGATTTGATAGTAGCCCCCAACATCCTCTTGGTCTCAGTGGGGGCAAATGTCAGAACGAGGAGCAATGGTCTCAAGCTGCAGTGGGGGAGGTCTAGGTTGGATATTAGGAAAAACTATTTCCCCACGAGGGTGGTGAAACACTGAGCTGGGTTCCCTAGGGAGGGGGTGGAATCTCCATCCCTAGAGGTGTTGAAGTCTCGGCTTGACCAAGCCCTGGCTGGGATGATTGAGTTGGGTTGGTCCTGCCTTGGGCAGGGGGCTGGACTTGATGTCTCCTGAGATCTCTTCCCGCCCTGGGATTCGATGATGTGTTGTGGCTTCACTAGCAAGGGGCAATGCGTGCGTATTAGGGCATTGTGCCCCTTCTCCAGATTTCAAATTCTTTTAGGCCGTGGCTCTGTTTCCCCCCTGCCACTTCCAACCCCTCTGCCCCCACATTTGGCAGCTGAGCCTGGGTAGGAAGGGAGAAGGCAGAATGGGTCAGCTTCTTAGACCCCCCTCCTCCACCCAGTGCAATGTGATGGTTCACCGAGAGAAATCCCCTTTTCCCCTCTGGCAGCTGAGGAGAAAGACACAGCTCCCTCCCCACCACGGATAACACTTTGGGGACAAGGGGGCAGGCCCAGGCAGGGCACAGGGCAGGAAGTTGGGGGGGAACAGTCCAGGGGCAGGGACCATAAGCTCAGCTGGCATTGGGGTAGTACCTGGACCCCTTGCCCAGCACATGTGTCAGTGAGGACATGGGATCTCTGGGGAGACCCTGGAACTCTGAAGTCCCCAGCCCACAGCCTAGTGCTCCCCACTTCTGTAACCTCAGCCCCGTCAGGAGCAGGCAGGATGGGCCGCCCTGGCCCAGGGAGGTGGGGCAGGAAGGTTTCTCCTGCAGATGTCACATAGGATGGTCCCCCCCCCCCCCTTTGAATTGTGTGCGGACATGAGGCGGAGACTCCGACCGACCGGAGAATTGCAGTTAGGGTTGGAATAACCAGAATAATTGGGAGTTCGCCAGCCACGGCCATGGGATCTGGATTTGGCCAACGAGCTTTCATACACCCAACAGTGCTGCAAGCTGCCCTGGGTGGCAGAATGTGATCATTTATGGTTGTACGAACAGACTTCCACCCACGCAGGTGGGCATTCAAGTTGTGAGAACGCCCGGTGAAGAGGTTGTAGGTTAAGCTGCCTTCAGTTCCCCACCTCTTTGTCCCACAGGAATCACTCCAGGGAAATCAGGGTTTTTTTTCTAATCTTAAAACCTTGCCATGGTGGAACCCCTGTAGTGCTTCCATGAAGACACTCCCAACGTCAATAGAAGGGGCTCTCCAGTTGGCCTAGATGATCCACATCCCTGAAAAGTGGTTGCTCCTGTCCATCTAGCGCTGTCTGCATTGGGAGCTTAGTGGGTTTAGCTGCACCCCTCACACCTGTGGCATTTTCAGCACCCTTAGTAATGTAGAGGTAGCCCCCAACTCCTGTACACCATCGACTCCTGTGCACCATCATAAATGCAGGCCAAGGATGTAAGTCAGAGACACTTACAAAAATGGTCGTAAGAGCAGGATGCGGGGGGGGTCACAACACGGGACATCGTAAGGAGGGGGTTTCCTGTAGTTACACTGACCTAATTCTCCAGTGTAGGGTCAACACACTTGCAGAATCCCTGGGCAAGGTGGAGGAAAATTCTCAGGGAGAAGGGGAGG